TGCTAACCCTAGGGCCATTAAACAGAATTTACGATTGTATACCCAATGTGACGCCTTATTTTAAAAAGTACACATTCAGCACTTAACTGCTTAATGAGTCAGTGGTTTCAGACTGTAAGCTAGGAAGGCTAAGTTCTTTATGACTACCCCCACACCAATTCTTGTAAAATAGCAAGTCATTGAACCCCATTTCTGTTTTCTGTCATTTTGGAAAATTTAGTTTCTAAAGAATATGACCAAAGTCCAGGCCTTCAAGCCACATTTTACAAAGGGCTTACCACAGTTCACTGTCCCATGCCTGACACTGGACAGAAAGGAGGAGGGAGGGACAGCGCAGTCCTCAGTGCCTTCCTCTGGCCATCTTTCTCTACCATGTGTGCCTACAGTAAAAGAGGGCATGAAACTTGCTGGGATTATTTTCTCTGTTTTAACAGAGCAAATGAGAATTTGTTCCCTCACTCTCTTGATGTCTTTCCCTCCCTTTTATAAAGGCACCTTCTCTTCTTTCTCCTTGCCCCTGTTCTTTCTTAGAGCACTCTAACTTCCAAATACTGGATTTGCCATAACCAAATTACATAAAGGGGCTGATGTGGCTGACTGGGCTTTAGAAAACATCATGTGGGTTCTTAGATTCACCTGGATCTAACCACAGCTCTTGTTACTTTTCTCGTAAGCCCATGAGTTTTCCACCTGCTAACAGATATGTGAAGTTGGTAGCTGTGAAGTGTAGCAAGAAGGCGCTTGTCTCCTTCTCAGACCTCATTCAGCTCCATTAACACCACATTGCAGCCAATTGAACTAACTGGGTGCACTTGTTAGAAGAACGATTGTGCCTTTGTGGAGAATTATGCCAAAATTTCTGCTTCAAACCCCAGCAACAGATTCTTTTGGGTGTCTTAAGTAAAAGGCCATTTGGGAAATGGACTGTACGTGCTGCAAATAGGATTTCAGTTGGTTAAATGGTGACATTTGTTTTCAAAAGTGTATCAGAGAGGAACCTAAGCCCTGCAGAGCATGTGTTCATTAAAGATTTGAAGTGGGCTGGGAAGCAATAAAAAAAGGCCAGTGAGTTCTCTTGTGAGATAGTTTTTTATTCCTATGAATTGAATCACACTGAAAAGTTTCAAAAAGAGACTGGAAAGAATGTATTTGCTTTGATCCAATATATGAAGTGTTCCCTACTACAAATACCCTTTAATTTAGCAGCATTCTTGAAAAGTCTGTTTGAATGTACCTAAAAATATGTAAATAAGCTCTAATTAGTTATTTCAATTAATTATTTTTTGTTTCTGCAGCTCTGTTTTTTTCCCCGTAATGTAGCTTGTCAGGGTTCAGCTTTGGCACCCTTCAAAAAATGTGTTTTTCTAACAGTAGTTATTTAGAAAGTACTTTTTTTCCCTCTTTGGAACCTCACAACGATAAAATGAAATCCCAGATTGTGTATCTTGATGGGGAATCGTTTCAGACATTTTTTAGTCCATGTTTGCTAGTATATCACAGAAGGAAACCTTGCAGTTAATTGAAAGAACGGGTGTTTCCATCTTTACATAAATGGTATGTGTTGTTCTTTAGAAAATGAGTCTGCATCAGACCACTAACTAGCCTCTAAACTTCACTGACCATCCTATGTTCTTTCAATAACAAATACATTGGATTTGGAGATTAAAAGTTTTAATCTTTCTAAATCGAATGAGGTGCTTTTCAGTGAAGACAGTGAATACTCTGGAAAAACACTGGCAAATGAACTCAGGTTGTTTCTACATAGCAAATTTTTGGAAATTGACTAAGAACCTGAAATGTGTATTTTGGAAGCTTAGAAAGGGAACTATTTGACAAATCATGAGCTTTTCACCAAGGAGTCTGCATACCCTCTGTACTTTAATTGAATAGAAACAGAATTTTAGAGCTTGGAGACACCCATGTCCCTCACCTAGGAATGAGGAGCAACCTTCAGCTTTTACCCACCGTCACTGGTGGCAGTTGGATGGTTGGGTAAATATGCAGTTTCTGAGCTCTACCCTAGACCTACAAAATCAAAATCCTGGGTGAGGAGGGTTGTCTACATTTTCTACAAACATCTACAGGACATTCTGATACCCACTGGATTTGGCAAATCACTGATTTCAGCTAACCTTTATTTTCTGATGAAGACAGCAGGCCTAAAGAGTTTGATGGGTCAAGTTCACAGGGTGCCCCAGGCAAGAACAGGCATCCTAACTCTAGACTAGTGCTTGTCTATACACAAATCCCAAACTATCCTAAGCATGTGGATAGGTTCATACTTACTTGTGGGTCATCGGGGCTGGTTTTAGCACTGAGAGAAGGAGAGCTTGGTTCTCAATATGACATAAAGGAAAAGACACCCAAGGCCTGGAGGAGAGCTGTTGTGCTGCTGTTTCTCTAAATTAATGTCTGAAGAGACCCTCGCCATGGTCTCCCCAGCCTTTCTCTCTTGTATGAGCCCAGAGACCTGTGCACAGTGGAGAGGATGTTTAGTTTATTTAGTTAGCTCACATCGTTGAAACTCTGGTATATTAGGCTTTGGACCTGTTAGCCTGGTTGATAACACACATTTTTAGGCTGCATGCTTTCTTGAGATGCATATTTGTACATTTTTAATATTGCCAGTGTTTGTCACATCTAGAAAATTATAATGAAGTCATTAAATTTTTTTAACTGATAAACCCAGTAGTACCTACTAACACATATATATTCAGCAAATGTTTCTGATGTTAATTATATCCAAATTTCAAATAACCAAAAAGCTAAAATAACCTGTTTATTTTTGCTGTGTTCTCTGATGAGAAGTTAAACTATAATGATGATCTTGAATTTCTGCAATATCACAATCACTTTCTAAATCAGTAGGAAAGATTGAATTCTCTTCAGTGTTAACTCAATTTGTCTACTGATTTTTGGGAACAGCAATATCTCCATGTCTAGATACTGTTCCACTGACCTTTCATAGTCCATATATGAACACATGTATAATTTATAATCCTTCAAATGGGCAATGTATTTTCACAGGGGTATTAGCAAAACTAAGCTGTTTTGAGAGGCAGGTTACCAAGTTAAAAGGATCAATTCTGGAAAAGTAGGGGAAATTTAAATCTCCATATATGTATGTGGATTTTGTGTGCTAAATAACACTCATTATCAGCCCTTCAACATAAACCATTACTGATTGTCTGCTATATGTAAAGCTGTGTGTTAAGTGCTGAGGATAAGAAATAGATATGAGGAGTTCTGGTATAGTTCTGGCTGGACAAGCACATAAAAAGGCACAAAAATGTGGTCAGTGAGTGCAGCAAATGGCATTCCACATTCATAGCCTAGTGACTGTGTCAGCATCTCCTCTGCCCAAAATGTGTGTTGATTCTTCCTTATATTTCATGCAAATCTCATCCTTCAGCCAATCTGAAAAACAGGAGCTTGTTATGATTTTGTTGCTACTCTATAGTAAAGAAATAGCTATTCTACCAAAGAACAATATTAAGCTCTTCAATTTAAAAAACAGTAGGCTGTAACTCTCTTCCTGGAGGATGCACTGTGAAACTGCTTGATTACTGATGCCATTTTATTTGTTATGAAAATGAAAGTCGTGTGAATTTTGTGATACTTTCATTTATGGAATTCATGTGAATCAGTTTCTTCTCAGGTTGGCAGTTAAATAAACACGTTTGGAGCTCCTTTAATGGAAGTGGGGTGCAACACTGATCATTGTATTATTATTACTAAGAGTAATTTATTTTACACCCATATCATGAAATAGGCCTAATGAGAGATTCTTTGATCAGTATTGTCTTGATCCCACCAGGAAATGGGCCACTTGAAAGGATTTCTTTTTTTTCACTTTTATTTTTTATTGAAGTATAGTTGACATAATATTAGCTTTAGTTGAACAGCATAGTAATTTAACATTTAAAGGCATTATGGAAAGATTTCTAAAATGAAACCCGCAGAGCATAAATAGAAGAATATTGTTGCTGTTCGTATAATCATGATTACCTGTTCTGGGACTGCCAGGATATTGTCCTTTGGATTGATTGTGACAGAATTTCTACATAGAAGGTTGTTCCTCTTATCTAAAGAAAAAGAATGATTTCTTTGTGTCAGGGCCATGATTATTACTCCCCTGCAGTACCAGAATGGTGTTCACACACTCATGGACTTCCTTGGACATGAGAAAGGCCTTAGCAGTCGCTTGCAGTAAACCACAGGTCTTGAGTAATAGGGAGGCTTTGGCAAAGTGGAGATCAGAGAAGAAAGCACAATGTAAGGAGAAATCATATGCACCAGTGTGTGGAGGGTGGAGTGAGCACACTGCGTTTATTTGGGGAACAGTAAACAGAGTTTTCTGATAGAAATAAAGAGGTTATATTCCCAGTAGAGAGTAGTAGGAGTGGGTAGTTGGAAAGGTGAGATGGGGGGCCAAAGGGCAAATTCCTTTCATTGATTTGTAAGTAAAGGAAGGCTACGTACTAGTTTTAAGGATCATTTTAGAATCAGACAAGCCTGGAGTCTAATCCAAACTCCTCATATTGGCTGGGTGACCTCAGATAAGGTACTTGGCTAAAACCTTAGTTCATTCATCTGAAAAACAGAGCTAATAATATCTTCCTCATAGAGATATTTGTGGTGTGTGCAGGTTAAGTTAGATCCTCTATGAGAAGCCCCCAGCAAAGTGTCTTGTGGAAGTCGGGTTCAGGAGGAGACAGTGAGGAGCTGAGAGTGGGGTTGGAGAGAGAAGGATCTCTGGCAGCTGTATGCAGAAGAGGTGGAATCAGAAGAGACCAGAAACAGGGTCGGCCAGGTGATCGGTCGGGCAGCCTCTCTGGAGGCAAGCAGGTGGGAGCTATCTGGCTAGGAAGAAAGGGACACATCTAGGCATTCTCTGTGGTGTTTTTCTTATTGCAGACTTCTGTTAAACCTGAGGGCTGTGTAACCTTTTTCGGTGGTGTTACAGTGCAGTCACAGGCTCTGTCTTTTACCTTGAACAGGATGCCAGCGGTCCATCGGCCTTTCCAACGGGAAAGCCAAGGTGTGCAATTACAGCGGGTGGTACTACTGCAGTGGCTGCCACGTGGACGACAGCTTTCTCATCCCGGCGCGCATAGTCCACAACTGGGACACTTCAAAATATAAGGTGAATACAAGAACTGGATTCGCTTCATAATAGCAGTTTGGGTGTTCGTATGCTGTCATGGGGATTATAAAGATAATGGTATCAGAATTTGAAGCAAATTTGACTAGGTAACCTCATAAAAGCTCTAGATCCTACTTAACGCTTCATAAATACTTTGCCTTTTAAAGCTGTCTTAACTATGACTTTTATTAATTTCCTCATTTAAAAAGACATATAGCAGCTTTTACTTCTGGGCCTTGATAAGTAACTGTAGTGCTAAAAGAGAATTCTGATGGAGAAAGAGGCCTCACTTCTTATTTTTTATTAGGTCTTATCTCCAATATCACAACACTATAGGAGAACAAAAACAGAACAAAGCATGCAAGAGCCTGCTAGTGATCTTTGAAAGAAAGAACTTATGTCATTCAAGATATTTCTTGTAGTAGAGTAGCCTTCCTACTCATGTGAAAGTCAGTCTTCTAGAAATCCATTTGCCTGGAACTAGAACCTGGAGGGAAGCTATGAGGACTTCTGGGTGGGGGCCCACACCAAGGAACAGTGCACTGAGCCACCTTCAGACCTCCATCCGGACCACTGTTCACTAAAAATGGGAGGAAATGAGCAGCACAGCTATATGCTAACAGCTTTGCAAGTAACTGCTAACAGCCAAGGAGGATATCCAAAAAGTACCAATAGCAGACTTGGTAGTTATAAAAACACATTAACAGAGGAGAAGAGGAGGACTGAGCACCGGGACACTCCAACCTAACACAGTAGATGAGAGGAAGCAGCAAAGGAAACCAAGGAATGTTAGCTAAGGGCTCATGCTCTCCCTGCTCCCGCAGTCCTACCACATGGACGGGAACCCTCAGCATCACTACACAGAGTGGCTCAGTAGCCTCCTACCTTTGCTTCCTGCCTTCAAGTCTTGACCCAACAATATTGCAAAAAAGTTCTAATCTCATCTTAGGTTAATTTCATACCTTGCCTTAGTCTCAGTTTCTTTACCTTTAAACTAGAAATGATAATGACAAAAGTAGTATCTACTTCCTAAGATTACTGTTTCTTTAAAGACTGATTCATAGAAAGCACCTAGCACAGTGTCTAGCACATCATAAATGCTTAATGAATGCCAGTTTCTGCTATGATCATATATAAGATAAACACAAATCTCATAGCCTGACATGAGACCTTTTGTGATCTCTAGTCCCTGCCAGTCTAGCACCTTCGTCCACTTCCTTACTGTTCCCGTTCCTGTCCTGCTATTTCATGCATCTTGTCTTCCTCTTGTGCTCATTCAGCATGGCAAATCCTGAACCCAGCTCAAACCTCATTTCCTCTCCTAATTCTTTCCTTCTGCTCTACCAGACAGAATTATCATTCTTTCTTCATCTTCTACCTGGCACTCTGAATATAGGCTATAAATATATTTGCTATGTGTGTATTAGATAAAATGTGTTCAGAGGGGAAAGAACACTAGTAGAGTTTGGTTTAGATGGCTTTAATTAATGTGCTGGTACAGGGCTGTGCCAGGTGCAGGGCTTTGACAGCTAAGAGAAGTGCATAGAGAGCAAGTGAGAGAGGCAGTCCCAGCCCCATGATCACTGGGAGTTTAGGCTAGTGGCACCTGCCAACGGAACATGTGCTAATCAAAAGAGCTAAAGAAGAAGAGCTGGCACTGAATGACAAAAATTTAAAAATCAGGCATGGTTTTTGCAGATGTGAGATGGTGGAAGAGATCCAGATCTGTTTGCAGTGAGCTCCGAAGGCCACTGAAACCATCAATTTAGCCATCAGTGATGATTACAATCTTTCTGTGAAACAGAATTTTTGCCATGGTGCTCATTCAAGGGACAAGATTTGATTTTGAGAGGTCAGGTAATTAATTGAAGACATCAGGTACCCTCACTTTATTCATGTGACACATGAGGAAAATATCCTCTGTCAGTCCATTCTTTCCCAGGTGCTCAATGGACCAGATTTTAAAGCAACAGAGCTGGTCTATTTTATCTGAATCACCTGTCACTGGCAGTAAGTAACTGTATTTCATTTAGTCCAATATCTGTCTGTCTGTGTTCAGACACCAGGATTTAACTTAATGTTCCTAATTGTGAAGCTCAATTCAGACCTATCAGTTTCCAAGACCAGACAGCGTTCTGCTAGATCTGCATCCTCTCCTTAATAGCAAGTACGTGACTGGCTTGAATATCCATTTAAAAGAGTGAAAAAATGATTTTGCAGAGCAGAATGAAATCTGTCATCTTAAGTGTTTCCTTTTCTGCCCTCTGGAGTAATAATGATCCTAATTATTTTTAAAGCAGAATTTCATCTATTTTCCATTGTACATCCTGCAGATTGAATTGAGCTCCAGGATTACCCAGCAGCTAAACCCTGTCCTTGAATTCTATAGCCATTTTCTAATGAAAGTCTCTTTGAAGATAATTTCAGTCCATTCAGAAACATCAAGCATGTCAAAGTGGTGGTAAGGAACTCAAACTTAGCCTCAACTCTTCCTAAATAGTTCCCCTCTGCTATGCTTTTAAAAAATATTTTTATATCTTAGCCTGAATATTCACATTCCATTTAGCTAGGGGTTTTCCATGTTACATAAGCCATTTCCTATCTCTACGTCTTGAGAGGTATTCAAGGCAAGCTCCCTTGCCCTTGCAGAGCTGGGAAGTAGCTCACTAATGGGAAAAGCCAGTTGTCCAGTCATTTGGAGAGTTTGAGAGCAAATTGTAATTAAGCTCAAGATCTCCTGATTCCTCCTCCATTAGCCCACTGTGCCTGTTTTAACAGGAATCAGAAGTGTTATGTTTGAGACTGATTTTATTTAAGACTTTAACCTTGACTTTTCACAATAGAGATGGGAAAAAATACTAGAAGGAAACATTACCCCAAAGCAATAAGTGGTTATTTTACTGTAAGATTATGGATATTTTTTTCCTCTCCTGATCTTTATTCTCTATATTTTCATTAATATGATTATATTTTATTATTTTATAAAATTTAACTGTTGCTTACCTCTATATATCCTATTTCAGGAAATATGTAGTAGAAATTAATGTTTTTAAATGTCTCAGAATTATGAATATGATTGTTCTGTCCAGTAATAGATAACTTCAGTGTCATTTAATGTAGTGTGGGAGGCTATTTTCCACACAAAAATTGCCTTTCACTGCTATACTTTTTTTCCTTCTTTGAATATAATATGCTTTCACAAGTTTCAAGATTGAACAAGTACATGGGTTATATATACAGATCTTTTTCCTCCCACCTCTTTCTTCCAGCCGCCCTGTCCTTTCCATAGGCAATCACATTATTCCTTTCTTGCATATCGTTCCAGAGATATTTTATGTACATGTGCTATTTTACACAAAAAATGCAAGAGATGACAGTATACATGCTACTTTCGGAGAGCTTTCCATTTAGATCATAAACTCTCTCTTGGGCTTTTTTTTTTTTAAGTCTCTCCATATTCCATCATGAATCTTAGACATACACACACCAAACATGTGCTATTTTACACAAAAAATGCAAGAGATGACAGTATACATGCTACTTTCGGAGAGCTTTCCATTTAGATCATAAACTCTCTCTTGGGCTTTTTTTTTTTTAAGTCTCTCCATATTCCATCATGAATCTTAGACATACACACACCAATTTAACCAGTTCTTTTTGATAGACATTAAGGTTTTTTCCAAACTTTTGCCATTATAGACAGTGATCCAATGAATAACTATATACATCATTTTGAATATAAGTTCATGAATGAGACCCTATAACTTCCTAGATGTAGGTATGTGCACTTGTGTGATTGATATTGCCACGTTTCCCTCAATAAGGGCTGTATGCTGTACTTTATATCTTCTTGCAAGTGCTTTTCTTCCCTTAATCTCAGGATGTCAGCTGTCCCTTCTGTTGTCATTGCACTGCTTCTACCTGTCCTTCCCTTTCCTTCTTTCTTGACTCTAAATATGTTGTAAGCTTAGAAACAAATAAGCAAGCTGTTAGAAGTTTGTTTAAAGTAAGAATGTGTGGTGCAGAGCATGGCCAGAGCATTGTAACGTCCCCACTCATTTCTTCAGGTATTTATCAGGCACCTACTGCGCTCACCGTTCAGTGCTTTGGGGACATAGTCTCTGCCTGGTGATGCTCTGACTCCAATGGAGGGAGAGAGACAGTAAAGAAACACAAGTGATACCTAGATAAATGAAGTGTTTCTGGACTTTATTTTTTGTTTTAGAGTTAAAATCTAATGAGAACCTACATGCGAATGTACTGCCTAATTATATAGGTTAGACTCCAATTGTAGCTCACTTGCTTTGTATTTGGGGAGGAGGGAAGGACAGAACAGGGGCAGAGATCACATCTCTTAAAGAGTGATGAGCAGATGGTTTATGGTAGAATTACTAAAAAAAAGAATTGTGAATATAAACAATGTTAAAAAAAAAATAGCATGGAGCAGAGTGTCCAGAGATTTGAGTTTTGGCTCTAGTTCTACCACAAAATAACCATAGAGAAGTCACTTAAGTTCTCCGGACCCAGTTTTCTCCTCTATGAAATATAGGTGCTAGATTAATTCAGCATTTCTCAAAGTACATTCCATGGAGCATTAACAAGTTCTATGTGTGTTAATAGATGTTATTCAAAAAAAGGGTTTCAGAGGAGGGCTACAGCTAGGCCCGCTTTAAATGAACAGGGTCCCTCCGTGGGAACAGACCCAGGGAGAACACAGCCCTGGGCCTCACAGCTTGGCAAGAGCATGGAGAGCATTAGAGAAAGACGCTCCTTCCTGTGGCTGGTGAGCAGGGCTCAGGCTGGATTTCATCTCCCTGAGGTCCCCTGCCCCCCCTGTCCCTCATACAGCCTGTACAACATTTAGCAACTGCTGTGTTGGTAGTCAAATAGGTTTAGGAAGTTGCTGGTTTAAGCAAGTTTTCTTCAGTACAAGAAGTCCCTGAGCCAACATGCTGCACTTTGAATTACCAAGAGGAGAGTGTGGCATATTTTGTGATGGACCTCAGAACAGCTTTTTTGTAGAACTACTATTCCTTAGAATACAGGTTGAGAAAAACTGAACTAGATTATCTGTACCAGTCCTTGTTAGTCTAAGACTATGTTCTCATCTACGTTACTTTATTCCATTTCTCTCCTTGAACAAAAACTGAAGTCCTCACTACCACCACCACCAGCACCACCACACCATCTCCAAATTGCATCTGCAGTTAAGTATTCCCTTGCCCCAGTGCTTTATTACCCAGGGCTGTTTTTGTGGGGGGGGGCATATCAGGACACGTCCCAGAACCCCGCCCTCTCAGAATTATGTAAACTGGAGCACTTTAGAACTTTGTTTTTAAGGGGTAGCTGTCACCACCATAGCAAAAGACATATTATGTCCAAATCTGTACTAATGATGCTTAATGTTCAAATCAAGTAACAAGTATGTTTGTTTATAAATACCTATGTTTATATAGCAGATTTGGTCATCACTAATCTGCAGCTACTTTATAACCCAATGGTGCTATTTTCTCCAGCTCCTGTGTGTGAAGTGGGGAGAACTGTTTCCCCCTGGACTTCCTCCCTCTCAGCTCTCATGAATCATGTAGACTGCAGGGCTGTGGGAACAAATGGCAACAAAATCACTCTGAGCTGAGTTCTTACAGCTTAAACTCTTCTGCTTATAAGCTTAAAAAGCTATGAAAAATTAGTTTCTATTAATACTATGAAGGTCATTAATAAACACTAAAATTATTTAGTAAATTACTAATAGGTTAATAGGTTTGAAAACCCTATCAAAATGGTTTCTAATGTGAGTAGAGTGGGATCACGGGAAAGAATGTCATCAAAACCATTCCTTTTGGGCTCATTCATCTGCCCAATGAATTGAGTTTTCATGGATGTCAGAAACAGCACTCAAGCTTTTCATGTTTTTCATAATGTGGTTGGCAAGAAGTAGGACAATAGCTTTAACTCTCACGTGGAATGTATTTGGTGATCACCTACAACTTAATGTAATATTTATATTAAGAAAGTTTCTCTCACATAAACTTTATCACCTAAGGATATCATTGGCTTCCTTGCTCAAGTAACTATATGTAACATTTTCTTTTTTAAAAAGAGAATTACAATTGATTTGGAAGTAGAATCCTCATACCAGTATGCAGGGTTGTTTAGAACTTTATCAGTGGGTTACAGTGCTCTCTATTTTACAAAAATAGCATTTTATGCCAAATTTTGAGTTCTCAAAAATTCCCTCACCAGTGTAAGTGGTTGATTCTCAAAAAAAACAAACAAAAACCTAGCATGTGCTCAGCCTTGCTGCCAAAACTGGCTCATTGTGGCGGGGATTTGTTCACATACTCAGGCAGCCGCAGGCACAATATGCTCTGTATCCTTAACACTAGTTAATAACTTTGTGAAGCAGTGCCTTAGACATTATTGAAACTAGCTCTGTTTTTGTTTTCAGTAATTTCAGCCTGTGAATGCTGATGTCAGTAGCTGCTGTTCCATTTGTCTTCCTGCTTTTACTGTCTCTGTAAAAGACTGTTTTTTTCCTTTTGGGCTTAAGTACCACCTGAAGAGAGAAGCCTTTTAAGGCCTGGGCGACTGGCCAGTGCCCTTTGTCCTTCTGTTCACCTACTAAAAGGTAGCATTGTTAACCTAATTCCGCGGGGCCCTGACTCAGTATAAACACTGCTCAATAGAGCCAGAAAGACTAATTGAATTGTACAATACATCATTTTTCAGCAACAGTTTCAAGTGGTCTGTACTTCATTTCCCAGAACACCATCCGTTTTTTCCTCATTTAAGATATTTAAATAGAGCAAATTTTTAACTATGGTAAAATAATCAAACCCAGCTCTTTCTCCACTGAACTGCAGGCTACATGAGGACAGGATCATGTCTGTTTTATCTTCCATTAAATGTCTTATGCTTGCTACAGTATCTGGCATGTAACATGCGTCTCAATGCCTCAAAGAGAGGCATTATTTGGCCTTGTTATTTCCAGTCTGGTTAAATAGGCAAAGGTTTTGGCTAATTCTAGGTACCTCTTTGTGAGCTGATCTGCAGAGACTGTAAACTTCATTAACTCTAATTCTGCAGGACCCCAAAGGATCACATAACATATCTCAAAAATAATTGCTTATCAGGGGAAAAAAGATCTTACTAGAAAAAATACCATTGGTGCATTTGGGGTTTTTTGTTTTTTTTTTTGTATCTCTGTTAGGACATAAACTTGTGTGTGAGATTTATAATAAAAAAGACCTTTTGAATTTTGTGATGTGTACATGGTTTATCTATATTTTTAAAAATGGCTACTTATAAAAAGTGGTATAGAATATACCTACATACCTATATATTTTAAAATCAGTATTGCTGTTGAAAAAAAGGACTTCATTAAGACTCTTTTTATTTTGAAATTGACTGGTATGCTGTGTCTCTATAGTTCTGTGCATTTCATCACATGTAGATTCATGTAATCACCACTATAATCAAGATACAGGATTAGTGAATTCTTTTCAATGCCAAGGTTACTTTTACCAGTTGAGTTTCTGGAAGAGAAAAAGAGAAGTCAGAAGTTAAAGCATGAGCTTTTTCATTTGGCTGTGTTCAGAAAATACTACTACTTTGATATTCGAGCCATGGTTCTTCGTTTGAGGAGGTATGGAAAGCTGGATGATTCACCAGAACTAATGAAGGAAGTGTATTTTGCAGGTGTCTAAGCAGGCCAAAGAGTTTCTGGAGTATGTGTATGAAGAGCCCCTGATCGACATCCAGCAGGAGAACCCCATGCTGTACCGACACGCTGAGCCACTGGCCACTGTGGTGCGGCTGCGGCAGCGACTGAAGTCGCTACGGGCCTATTTGTTCAGCTGCCGGGCAGCCGTAGCCGAGGATCTGCGCCGCAGGTAAGAGTCAGAAATGTCAGACGGTTGCAGTTTGTTTTTCTTTCCCACCGAGAGGGTGGCTCAATGACCTCCAAGAAGGGCCTTCTGGTGCGGAGCGTCTCAGGTTCTGTGGCTGTGCCTCCGTGCTCATTCTTGACTTTTTTCCTTGGAGTTCCTCTCTCCAGCTAAACCAAGCAAAATGAAAATAATCTCAATGTAACGGAAGGCTTTGAACTCAGGGACCCAGCCCTCCCACAGTGGTGAAGCCTTCTCTTACCTATTGGCCAACTTGAGGTAATAATCTTGGAGTGACTCCATCGATCACTTCTATAGTGTCTTACACTTTTCCCAATTTTAGTTCCTATTTATTGCCAGTAAAAATAAGCAAGTTTGAAATGTTTCATAACTTAAAAATATTTTTCACTGAGAATTTAGTAGGTGGTTATTCAAATCTTATTTTCCATACAGAAACAAACTTGGTAAATGATGCATGTGGTAGAGCTGGGATTAAAACTCACAGGCCCAGGATTCTGCCTTTTCAAATTACCGTTGGTGTAGGCTGTTTTCCATGGCTCAGTTATCTCAGAGTTTATAGAACACACAAGTCCATACCAGGCTCAGAGCCTCAAAAAAAAAAAAAGTGTCTGTTCTCATCAAATTCCTTCTTTTATGGTTATATTTTATTGGCACTTAAATTCTCACCCTTGGCATATATGAACTAGCTTATACTTGAAATAATTGTTAATGGTGTTCATAAGTCCCCAAAAATACCTTTTAATTTTTTTATTTTAATAGAAATGACCAAAAGCGTACATTAGTCATGGTTTTTGGAAGTAAGCCTGGATGCATAAGAACCTGGATGCATAAGAAAGTATTAAAGTGATAGAGTTTGCTGTTTGAGATCCAGTTAGATCCAAGGAAACTGACATAACCCCAGGCATCTAAAGAGGACATTTAAAAAAGAACTACATGTAGATAGTGAAGGATACGTAATATCTAGACAAGTTCTCATAAAATAATAATGAAAAGGCAGCTGCTGTAAGTAAAGCAAAATAATTCTCAGTGGTAGTCATTCTATTACCTAATTGTTTTTCAGAAAGCACTAGGAAGTGGTCAGGATTTATTCTTATAAAGTCTAGGCAAATTTTCATTTTAAAAGGTCAGGGCTTTCTCTGTAAGGCTATAGAATTACATATTTCAAGCAATTTACTGAATAAACTAGGTACCAGATTTTTAATGTTCAAAGTATGTTTGTTCCATTTTCACTACTTCTCAGCTGGTTTTTCTTATGCTTATGTTTTTAGATGATATTAAAATCTGCATATGGGAATCATGTTGGATGCCTTTCTGATACAATATTTTGCTTTGGGTCAATATGCCAAATTGGTGCACACATTTAGAAATTAAATTGGAGATCCTCTGTTCATAAGATGACTAACAACACCTATGCTGTTGCAGCAACCTGGTGGTTTACCACATGATGGTACTGTGCCTTATGGCCAAACCACCAGGAAAGGAATGAAAGTTCTCAAAAGAAGGTACTCCCTGGGCTGTGAGAATGAAAGCAGTAGTCTTTTTTTTCCTTTCCCTTCATTTTTCTTTCCTGGACTTGCTCATGACTGTTATGCAGTGCAGTGCCTGGTACAAGGTAGGTACTCACTCAGCAAGTGTCAAATGGATAGATAGAAGGAAAGAGGGAAGGATGGGTGGATGGGTGTTTGTTACAGTGGCAATGTTCTCACACTGAACACTGAGCAATGGCTAATATCCCCATTTTTGAGAATGAGTGATTTTTCAATTTCTTCTTTTTCTTCCCTACATGTCCCATAACACAGTGTCTGGCTCATCTGAAACCCTCAAAAGTAGTTGAGTGAATTAACAAATGAACCAAAGAACAAATCAAGTCAAAAAAGATTTAGTAGGTTCTATATCTTAAACAAGTCCCAAATCTTTTCATTCACTCCCAATAATACCACCCAGGTTCAGAGTCTCAGGATCAATGCAGTGTCCTTCTAACTAGTCTCATTTCAGTTTCTTTCCTCATTAAACCTTCACATCAGGCAAGTTATTAAAATAAAAGTATGGAATTCAAGAGCTGCCCAAAACAGCATATCTGCTCTACTTTCTCAAATACTTGTTACTTCAAATGCAAATAATTATTTAACTCTTCCCTCAGTGCATTCTGTTGTGGGAATTAAATGGGTTTTTACAACCTTTGAAGAGCTTAAATAGTGCTTGTACATACTACTATTGTACTAGTATTAATATTGCCTTCTTATCCTAGAATGTCCTTGTCTCTGGCTTTAAAAATCTTTATCAAACAGTTCCACTGAAAAGCCACCCCTGATGCCCTGTCTGCTGGAATCAATGTCCTTCTCCTGCTACTAAGTCAGGAGAGGAGTGAGTGAGAGAAAGTGGTTCATAGAGCTAGCTGGGCAGGCGGCTTGTAGTTCTGAGGTATGTAGTGCATACTTATCCATGCAGCTCTCTCATAAAGATGGGTGGAGGCTCCCTAAGAGCCAAGAGTGAGGTGATGATTCCTACAGAGCCCTAGAGGAGATGCACTGATTTTTTTTTTCAAGTTTTATTTTCATTTCTCTCTACTTCTACCTGTTAAAATAACGTGTGGGGTTACCATGTTTCTCCAACCTGGTACAGAGAAAAGTATACCAGTAACAAGTGGTACTCTTACAGCTTTTTGGGGGAAGGGGCTTTTCAGGGGGGGAGTGCTAGTCTTGAGTCACTTCAAATTTTTTGGAATTTTTTTGGAAATATGACTATTAAAGGAATTTGTGTAAGATTTTCTGGGATGTCTGTACTTCTTACAACTAAACCATTCTAAATATCAATTCTGCCTTCTTGTCTACAAAAAGAATCATCAATACACAAAGGAACTATTACCCACCTAATATGCCAAGATTCCTGTCACTGGGGGCCATCTCTTACCTATATTTTACTTTTATATGGAATCTTTTTCAGAAAAACAATTAGCCAACAGTATCTTCAGAGATGATGAGCTTATCCAAAAACAACATATAAGGTTTCCTTTGTTTCACTTGGGGATATGACATCCCAAGTGGGGGAGTTTATACAGCCAGAAGAACCTGCTGAACACAACTAATCTTGCATGTCCTTGATAGAAATTAAAAGAGGGAGGAATTGATGGGCAATAGGGGAACAAAAAAGAAGAGAGTCCTGTTCTTATCTAGGTGTAAAAGGCATTCTCTCCCTGCCTGGTTTTTACCTCAGTATAAGAGTAGCCATTAATCTCCAGCAAGTAGGCCCAACATGCTGAAGACCTGTCAGTGCCATATAAACAGAATAAAGCAAACTGTTAATATTACTGTCGTGAGAAAACTGAAAACAGACTGATTAATTGTATTGGTGCTCGACTGCCAGGGAGCCAGCTTTGGTCATCGCCTTATTAGGGAAGTCATAGCCTGCTTTTAGGTCTTTCATTATGAAGACCGTCCTCTTTTCCTCCTCACTGTTCCTATTATTGTTGTTAAATGAATGCCTCATTCTTGAACCCATACTGCGATCTTGACTGGCAGGGGAGATTAGTTTAGAAAAAGTCAGTGTCTTCCATGAAGTCTAAAATGTTTACAGTGCTGACAATTCACTGTTTCTGAGGACTCCCAGATGGTGACCCTGCTGGATTGGTCCAAGGCCTAGTTAACTTTTCATGAGAAGATTTATTTACAATGTCCACACATGAATGTGCATAAAGAACTGTGGAAAATCTTAGCACTGTCAGGACACATCCGGATCAGCCATTAGGGAAATCTTGGGGAAGAGCCCTAAGATGAGCTTAGGGGCTTAGCCCTGCACATCCCACTGGACACAGGAATAGTGGGATATGTATGTAAATCAGAAATTACAAACGGGTACCTCTTGGCCAAATTTGGCCCTCAGACATGTTTTGTTTGGACTTTCAGGGATAGCCCCACTAGGTCTTAAAGTTTTGAGATAGTTGCTAACATATTTAGCAACAATAATCAGGAGTTTTCATGTACATACAGAATGAAGCTCTCTGGTTTCTCTTAGAAAAATGAGAAGCTCTAATTATACAGGGTTTCCCTCATTCCTCGATAGCTGCAATCAGCTTTCTTTCCTGGACTCCTCTTTGCTAGAGCCTCTACAGCTCCCGTTACTGTCTCAAACCCAGTGTCATTTGATACATAATCCATTGCTGCTGTGTTTTTCTTATACCCAGCCCATTTCATTTATTTACAGTGGTACCAGGGTCCATGTAAGATAATTATGATTTTATCAATTAAAAAGTACTTTCCCATAAATAAATAAATATATATTTTTTATAACAGCCTTTTTAGATGATAGGACAGATGGTAGGTAGAAAGAAGAGAAAGACCTGTGGCTCTGAGATGCTACGTGACTTGCCTGAGGTGACAAAGCAGAGTCCACATTCAACCAGGTTTTCGATTTTCAGATAGCTGCTGCTTTTCCCAGCCATTTGCTGTTGGTGATGGCCAGGGTTCTCTAGTCTCTTACGAGGAACTGCTTTTAATTCTCCTGAAGCCTTGACTAAGGTCATTTAGGGGAGTGCAAAGGAAGGCAGGGAGGTGGCAGACAGTCACATCCCATGAGTGGGAAGGTGGGATTGCTGACACAGGCGTCGGGTGCTCACTGCCAGCTCACTCAGTCTTGGAGAACAAGGCATGATGACTGGCTTAGCACTAATGAGCACCTTTTCTCCAGTTCAGCACTTACCAGACAGTTCCATCTCAGAGGACTGGAAATTTAAAACAAAAATGTGGAGGTAGCTTTAGGATTGTCTTCTATTTGTCTTTAGCCAAAACAAACAAACATTACTGCCTATTTCTCACCATTTCATAAAAAGCATAGTAACCCTAAAAAAAAAACAACGAGCAAACAGCCTCAGAAATCAAACAGCTTTTTAAAATCAAATACATTTAAAATTCATTCAACTATTCTGTTTTGTTTTGTTTTTTTTCATTTTACCTTGGACTGCTAAAAACATTACCGGATCAACACCAGCT